AACTGCGTGTTGGTGGAACTTCGAAGTGCGTGAGAAAGAATAGACGACTCGCTTGTTGGAGAACGCCGTAGCAAGAGTATCCTAGCATCCTTCAGGGTCACCATCAGTCCGCGTCGTTGTCATCGACTCCACATTGTTAGTCACCGAAAAAGAAGGGGGGGGGGGTCTGTGGTTACACTGTTGCCAGGTGCGTCAGAGAATGCTAGCTTCAATTTTGGCACCATGAACCCCACGAAAGAGCATTCAGATCAGCATTCTAGTGTTACAACTATATTGACTTGTGTCGAGATCCCGTAGCCTGAAGTGGTAACGCTGAAGTAGTGGCGTGCGACTGGTCATAAATTTGAAATCAAAGGAATTAATTCTATCAGAAATCCTGCTTGACGCCACACATACAGAAAAGACTAACCTGATCGCTGGATAATGTGCCCCCCCCCCCCCCCCCTGAGGTCGACTCCGGTGCTGTGTATTGCACCACAAGTTGTTCAAGTAGGAAATTAAGAACGTTCCACTGCTGCTACCGCCCATGCCAACGCGCCGAAGTCCCCACAACACGGCAGTGCGAAAGGAAGACTGCCATTTTCCAATTATAGCGCGATGATCCGAATCGAAGGAGTCAAGAGAGGGCCTTTCACTTTTGCAGCCCCAGACTGGCGAGAATGACAAAAATGGTCGTCTGTTTTACAGTCTACTAACCGTTTCTTCGTTGTTTTATGCTGTGAAAAGGATTAACAATGTCGACATTTTTGCATGCGGCTGGGACGTTGCTGGTCGGATGCTTCGAAGTTTTTTGCGTTAACTTTGCCATTTCAAGCTAGTCAAAGTTCGCTCCGCTAGTCGCGCGTACAATAAAAGTCAGCTCGTGATCTGATAATTGTTGCTTCAGCCCTTTGAAAAATGTTTAAGGTAGCCAGTGTATTCTTAAGCCAATACCAAAGATCTTTTGAATAGAGGTCATATAATCAACTTGATGTCGTTCTGAGGTGTGGTGGGATGAACTTTATTTGCATATTTTAACTTATTGCGAGTATGAAGAGGTTGTTGCACCAGGAAAAGGCTTTTGAAGATGCACAGTCTTTTGAAGATGTTGGAGTGTAGGAGTGAGTACAACCCCAAATGGGCAGGAATGCGTTAACATTTCCACCATTATCGAAGAAAATCTATAATGATACCAGTGTTTCATGAATCCAAGCATCACTTTTTTTTAGTATAGCTAGACTAAGATTTGGTGCTGTGACCTGCAGAGGTGTTGTCATTCTTTTTGAGTGGAACGATTGATCCGAGCAAACCAAACACTCATCTGCTTTGGACTGTCAAATGATATTAACATACAAACTCACATACGATACATATATCACCCAAACGGTATGGCAAATCGTATGCACCT